CTCTCTCTCTCTCTCTCTCTCTCTCTCTCTCTCTCTCTCTCTCTCTCTCTCTCTCTCTCACACACACACACACACACACACACACACACACATGAACCTCAGTAACCGGGGTCTTTGCAAAGGCAGGTGAAGCCTTCACTGGCTCAGCCTCGTCCTGGCAGAGAAAACTTCTGATGCCAGGCCAGCACAACACACACACACGGCACACACAACACACACACACACACACACACACACATGAACCTCAGTAACAGGGGCCTTTGCAAAGGTGGGTGAAGCCTTCATTGGCTCAGCGACGTCCTGGCAGAGAAAACTTCTGATGGCAGGCCAGCACATGCCTACTCCGCAAAGATAACTTCTTGTTGCATCCTCCACCCATCAGAGCTGACTATGAAATGTGCTGCCGCGTTCATTTTTTCTTGTCAAGCAAAACTTGCTACGGTCTCAGTCGAGTCGGCACACTCAATATGTCAGAGCCAGGAGAAATTTGCCCAGTGGTCACCTGGGCAGCTGGGCCCACTGCCTCCACTGGATGTTGGTAAACTTAGCGGCGAAAATTCGTTAAGTTATTACTGCCAGTCGGGGCATGGGTGTTTATCTGAGCGTAACTAAGGGTAAATGGCAATGGAATCTTCTTCCGTTTTTGTGCAGGTGTTTTTTTCCCCCTTTTCTAAGTTTTTACAACTGTTTTTGGTCGTCATTTTACCTTCTTGTCATGATTGGAAAGAACACAGAAAACAAAAAAAAGCACAAAAATAAATAAATAAATAAAAAGAAAAAAAAGTTCGAACATTAAAGTTTAAACTTTAAAAATCCACAACAAAAAAGAAAAGAAAGGAAAGCGGCTCCGCTCAGTCCTCATCATGAATCGCCAACATCTACCAAGCAATTATATGACAATGCCACGTTACACATCTTCTCACCTGGCGCTGGAGGGTCTGCAGTGTCTTCTTGCTGCTCCTGTCTTCGAATGGTCACTGAAGGCTCCTGGGAAGAATCCACCCTCTTGTGGTCCGGCAAGTGTTTATCTAGAAAGGCCTTGGCAGTGTTACTCAATTTTACATTGACAGCACGGGCAGCTGCGTACTTCTCCATACACTCTGCTACAGTGGGAGTTAAGATCTCTGGAGAGAGAGAGAGAGAGAGAGAGAGAGAGTTTTTTTTTTTTTTTGGGGGGGGGGGAGGGGTTGTGGGTGGGAAAAAATGTCAGCAATGGTGATTCGTAAGGGGAAGAAACAAATTCGGCGAAATTGAAAATTTGGCAGGATTAACTAACAAAATTAAACAAACACAACTGAATGACTAATTAACTAGCAAAAAAAAATGAAAATTAAAAATGAAAAAGAGAGAAGTTGAAAAAAACAAAACACAGTCCCAGGTGTCCTTCGGGACATCCGTTAAAATTGGAATGATACAGAGAAGATTCTTAGCATGGCCCCTGCACAAGGATGACACGGATAAATCGAGAAATGGTCCAATTTTTTACATGAGGCGGAAATCCTAGCGACGGTAATCCATGAGGCCAAAAAACTTCTACAAAAAATTGAAAAAAAATGAAAAAATGGCAATCTAGGAGGAAATGTCAGGAATTAGCAATCCACGGATGTCAGCAAGGATCATATTGATGGAGAGCAGTAAGGGCCTAGTTGTACTACTCGCCATTCACCAAAATTCTGAATGAACGTGAGAACGGGCCCAGTCCCGATGCATTCAAAAAATTGGTGGAATAGTGCAACTAGGCCCTAAGGCAAAAGAAACAACCTGACATACAGACAGGAGGGAGAGACAGGGTCAAGAGAGCAACAACAGCAACAGCAAACCATGATAGCAAACAAGATGCGGATAGGGGAGAACGGAGACAAATCACGGCACACAACATGAAAACGAAAACTTAAACAAAAACAAAAACGAGAACGAAAACGAAAACGAAAACGACAACGACAACAAAAACAAAAACGAAAACGAAAACGAAAACGAAAACGAAAACGAAAACGAAAACGAAACGAGTGCATCTGCCCACGAAAGGTGGCAAAAATATACACTCGTTACTTTTTGTACCAAACCGATGAACCTGTCCATTTTCTGTGGGAAGATGCACTCATTTCGTTTTTCGTTTCATGTGCCGTCCGCCAATGCCCAAAGGGAGACAAGGAATTGGAGGACCGCCATGTGAATCGTCCCCAGAGAGTGTGAAAAGGACCACTGAGTGTCGAGGAGATGGCCACCGACGGAATCAAGAAGGAAACAAGTTCATATAACCACAGAGCAACAGCAGCAGACTTTGTGAATAAAAAAAGTAGGGATGTGGGGAGCTCAGAACACGGACACATGGCAGGCTGCACTTCCGCTCGCACACACAACACTAGAAACCCCAAGAGTACAACAGGGCCATCCATACAGCAGCCTGGCAAGGTTGAGATTAGTTTCTCGGGTTTTGGAGCACTACCATATTCACCCGAATAGAACACCCTGTCTTAACTGCCTTTTCGTTAAATTTTGTTTTTTTTCGTGCATGCCATGAGATTCTACAAGGATTTCTTTGCCTCTTTTTGTATGTCTTTTTCAAATCTGGTGAGGCCATAAAAGATCATAAAACTTCGTGTTTATGCATATCGCCGTCAATTCCTCGCGATGAGTTTCTCGGGTTTATGCATATCGCCATCAATTCGTCGCGGGTTTATCCATATCGCCGCCAATTCGTCGTGACGACTTTCTCGGGTTTATGCATATCGACGTCAATTCGTCGCGATGACTTTCTCGGGTTGGAAGCAAGCATGATGAAATCACCCAAGCCCTTGGTACACTTACCCTTGCGAGTGCTCGAGTTGCACAGATAAAATAGAGTTGCAATGGCGGACAATACCTGCAAGCAAGCATGATGAAATCACCCAAGCAGTTCAATGGTCAAGACCTGGTTAGACTGATAGAGAGGTGACAAATTGTCAATTCAATTTATGTGTTAGGGAACATTTAGGTTTTCACCACACATTAGTAATATACACATGGCCATGCTGTGCTTCTAGTGCCAGTGGCGTGTCTGGAGTGTGTTTTCTGGCTGTGGCAGAGCTTTCTTGTTTCGTGGGGGTTTTGCTGGCTGATGAGGTGTGAACCTGCAGTCTGTGGAGTTTTCCATCTGCTGTGCCTGCGTGATAGTCTGCTTTGACTTCCATCATCGTTTCTCGTTACAGAGAGAACAGCATGCCTGGCTGCTCGACTTAGATCTGTTTGGCGTAGACCATAGCGCTCCCTAAGCAGATTTAGAATTCAGTCCTTGCAGGGTATCAGTTGTTGGGCAGATACTGAACTTTACAACACTTTCACAGTTTTGGTCCGCTGAAGTGCAAGGAAAACTTCCAATTCTCCGCTATCTTCGTCAAATGAAGGCAAACACTACTGCCAGGATCCACCTGAAATTCAACTCCAATCGCAACCATGCATCACACCGAATTCCACACAAAGCACTCAGACAAGGCAGTGAGATGACAATTGGCCAAAAACCAAAATGATTATTCCCACAGTGACAGAATTATCCAAGTTCATAGCCAGCTCATCATCCTCTCCCAGGGAAGTACACACTCTGTCTCTCTCTCACTCACTGTCTCTCCTCTCCTGCATCTCTCACTCTCCTCACTTGGATCGCTCAATCTCACTCTCTGCACGCAGTCGCCTCTCTCTCCCTTACTACGATATCAGCTCTCCCTTGCTAGCCCTAGCTATGGCACTCCTGTGCCAGCTTCTTCCTCAAACTCCCGACCAGTCCACCCGTTTGTTGACACAAGTGTTCATCAGCAGAGCTTCTGCAACACACAAATTGACAAGTGAGTTCTTTGGAGCGCTGTAGCTCCATAAATAGCAGCTGAGGCTGCTGAGTTGAGTTTTTTATAGCTCCAGACAGACGACGGTCTCCCAAGGCCTGTCGGATGCACTTTTGCCAGTTCCGAAACCCGCCAGACTTTTCCCAGGATGCTGCTGCCAATTTTGGACTGCGACTTTGGACTTTTCTTGTCTGGTACCCCGCCTACCTAACTTCTAACGACCCTAAAGTTATTTGTCGGCCTACCGGGCTCTACCGACCTACGGGCCTAGAAAACGACGGTTTGGCTGTACGACCTACTGGGTCAGTCACTTTTCTGGGACTGGGACCATTGGGACTACGGGAGCGGGACTCCGGACAATGACCGCGATGTGAAATCCTTTCACTCCCGCTGGCCTAGTTTTGAGGTCCTCCGAGAAAAGTGCTAACTTCCTTATCTGTCTACAGTTGACATCTCTTCTAGCCCTCCCATAGTACGACACGGTATTCAGGGCCGTCTCACCCAGTTCATTCTTTGTATACCATCAGTCGTCCTCTGCTTCCTGGTACTGGAACCGGACTTTGTACTGCTGCTGCATCCTCCCTCTCCGACCTGCTCTGTAGATATCCTCATCTATAATGTGATCAATCATCAATGTCCTATCGGGCACAACCATTGATATGCGCAAATGAAAGGCATTGCTAGTTATGCAAGGCAGCAACTTGGATGCGTGAAACACACGGTAAATATGCAGATGATGTAGTAATGTGCCAACAACATAGGACGGGCCATCTAGATCGCCTATGACATCTAGCGTTTCCCATGGCCCTCAAGTATGCAGGTACCGAAATACCCTCTTCTGGTAGAAACTCTTTAGATTTGACAGCGAATTTGGAGATCTGCAATGTTTGTTGGCCTGTGCTACAATCAGATGCTGTGCTTTCCTAATGTCTTTTGTGACTTCTTGCAGGTCTCTCTCATACTGCAGTGCAAATTCCCCTAGTTCCAGGAGGTAAGCATCGAATCTGATCAGGATTCAGTCAGTAGATCGGCCTTCTAGGCTTCCAACCCTTGTGCAGTTCATTCAGAGTCCACGCTGTTGCCAAATGGCACAGAGTTGTTGTATGCACTACCGTCTTCACCCGAATAGAACGCCCGGTAATTATGGCCGTATCTGGACTGAAAAATGCATCAAATACAGCTATAATGACCGGGCGTTCTATTCGGGTGAAGACGGTAGCTACCTTCGGCAAGTGCTCGTCCCAATCAACCTGATCTTGTCTAACGTACATATGGAGTGTTTGTTGCAACAGGTTGTTCGTTTGTTCAGTCCGTCCATTTGTTTCTGCGTGGCTGCCAGATGATATTGTCAACTTGGACCCATAGAATTTTATCAACTGCTGCCACTGATCTCCGGTGAATCTAACATCTCTATCACTAACTACAGTAAGCGGGGTGGCCATTGTCGTTCACCCAGTGGTTGAAGAACTCCCAAATCAGTTTGTCCTGGCTTCAGGCGGTTTGTCCTGGCTTCCGGCGGCAGCGGAACGAAACAACAGATTTCCTAAATGTATCTACTATCACCATTACTTGACTGTTCTCGTTTAGACTCTTCAGCTTCATGTCCATGAAGTCTACCGACACAGCTCTCTTGGCCCTGACGGTATAGGTATCGGTTTTAGCAGTCCTAACGGAGGCTGCATTGTACTCTTATTGCGTTGATACACCTTACAACTGTGCACATACAAAATGCAGTCAACTTTCATACCACTCTAGACGTAGGATCGCAACAGATCGGCTGAAAGAATGGGCTATATATTATATAAGCAGGCACAAGCCTTGGAATGGATGTCACTTGAGCAGTGATAGGCAGAAGGGTGATGAACTGCTGTCACAGTTTCTATGATGTGCAGTGTTACATTCACTGTGAGAGTAAAAGAAGCCTAGTACTATACTACACTATCTAATGAGTAAAAGGTTACTGGACTCTACACTGAGTCTACAGACTATAGAGGATTCAGCCTCGTGATGAATCAGTGACTCTGACAAAAGTCTGTCACAGCCCCTCGGTTTTTGGGTGGGTGGGATCGAAGCGCACCGTCAGATCCCACGACTGCCGCAATCGGTTTTTAGCCTGCAATTCCGCATGCACATGCAGAACCAGCAGGGAATCGAGCTGTGGAATTTGGCATAAAGCAGAGCTGTTGGATTTCCCATACAAATCCGATGCGTGAAAAAGAACAGCACCCCCAACACGACAGCGCGAAACGGCGCCCCAGAAAACGAAAGAAAACACACCGCGTAAAAAACAAAACAAAAAAAAGTGTGTGACTGCCGCCACCATCCAGGATCGACTTTTTTTTTCCGCTTCTCTCGGTTACCGGGCGTCCCTGCTTCCTCTAACATTGTCAGAGGAACTAAAATTGTAACCGACAAGTCACCAAAAGAACGCATGCATGTCAATCACTGCAAGAAAGATGTGTTCGAAAACTGTGCCGAGTTGTGGCCGAAAACTTTTGCATTCGGCCGTCGATACCAAAATAACTGTGCCGAGTTGTGCCCGAAAACTTTTGCTTTTGGCCGTCGATACCGAAATCCGACGGCCATGGACCCTGTGGGCTCAGTGCTCATAGAGGCGTCCTCGATTCTTTGGTTTGTTGCAGTTTCCAAAATCATTTTGTTGAAATCGTCCCGGAATTTCTGCCCCCTGTTATCAGACAAGAGCCTCAAAATTGACAAAAAGCTCATTTCATTTCATTTGAAAAGGAATACAATGAGCAACGCTGTCTCTTTCCTGACCGAACGCGTCCAGACTCTAAAAGCCTGTGTTACTTGCGTTTGATCAGACAGAGATATATCATATTTGTTTTATTTTTTTTACAAGGGAAATCGATTGCTGACGTACTTCTGTGGACACATACACATTTCAAGTCATAATGCCAAGAAGAGCTCATTTCATTCATGTCCCCCGCCGCCTCCCCCAAGAAAAGTAACCGTACGAAAAGCGGAACCAATCCTTCCTTTGAGCAAAGTGCATGTGCATGACATCGCTGACACCTCCATCCACCTGTACTGTGGCCACTTCAGGACCAGAGAGCACTGCACACATTCCCTCCACCTCAAAAAGTACAATTTATGGACTAATAAAAGCACAGAGAGAGACAAGAGGCAGGAACGCCAAAAAATTGCGGAAATATATAGGGTGCCAAGCAAAAAAAAAAAAAAAAAAAAAAGGGAAAAAGGTAGGACTTGGGGCACTCACCGTCTTCTCGACCGGACTAGTTAAACATCCAATAGCCAATGGGATGGCACCATTCTGAACGAGAATTGCTGCATTTTTGCGATCTGCAATGACCACGAGGGAAAAACAAACAGACACGTTGAAGAACGGAATCAACTTACAGACGCATGAACTCATATACGCAGGGCATACTCAGAGTGGTACTTCCAGTTACTTGAACATACACAGCGGCATCACAGCCAAATTCCGTCGAGAAAGTCACAAGTGTGGGTAGGCTCTCAAATAATTTCTGGATAAACTGATGCAAACCCTGCCATGGATAATTGCTGGATAAAATATTAAAATTCCAATAAAGTTGAATAAACTGATGCAATGTGCCGATGCAAGCACTGACGTGGCTGCAGCCGTGTACAAAACGAGTGCAACTTCACTGTTATACTGAGAGCATAATCACACGCCAGGGATTTTCCTGGATGCATATATCCACAGTTATGGCAACATTCAGTCAAGAAGGTGCTAACCCATTGGTAGTATGAATATGCCTTCACTCTTTGTAAGCTGCATTATGAATTTACTGTTCATGGCACTGAGGTGCCAGTGTATGGACAGACACTTAGGCTCCGCCGTCGTACTAGAACGAAACAGATCACGGCCTTCTGGGTTACCTTTCCAATCATGGACCAGTCTTGAGTCCTGTACCCAGACCACAAACCGCCGCAATCCCTGCTGCAGGACGAATGGTGCATCACCCTTTTCGTCAGCTGGCAATCTGGTCCTACTGGTTATCGGTTCAACTCCGATAGTAAGCATACTCGCTTTGATGAAATTGGCAAACCCGACAGACTAAAACACTTCGTCGGTTCGCGTGAGTAGGAACCACGGCGAATATAACTTAATAGGTCAAACTGTCAGATTGTGAATTTGAAAACACGGGTTCAACTCCCGTTCTTCGCCTCTTGCATCTGAACTCTGGCGAGCCTAAATCCAGCCAAAGCTGGCGTCAAGACAGTCCTGGACCGGTCACTGTCCTACAGGTGGACCAGGAATTTTACGTGAAATAATTCCCGGAGCTTGGACAATGAGTCCAGCCCACCAGTGGACCGCGGGATCACCATTTTTTGAATGGTAGCCTGCCTTCTCTTTATCTTGGACGCGGAACCAGTCCAGTCTGCAGATTGTACCTCACTAAGCTGACAGTGACCAGATCAGCCAATGCGTATACAGGAGTTGGCAGTACGATTTTAGTTATTTATTGTTCGCTCCACTTTTCGTTTTTTTTCTTTTTTTTTAAATAAACCACCCAGTTGGTTCATTATCAAACCAAATCAATCGAGGCCGGGGACCTCACAATTCGACCCGGGGTTATCTCGGCAGCATCAGCCGATGCTCCACATTTTTTCACCCTGCACATTTCTTTTTTTGGCTTTTCTTTTTGAAGTTTTTTCACATTGGCTATTCCGCTCTTGTACCTGTGGCATGCACGAGGTTGAGGCATCAGGCCATATACTTACAGATGCCCAACGTCTGTGAAATAAACATACGCATGTACAGTAGCACACCACACACACAAGGCACCAGTGTGCACTGCACATGGTGGAGATGCACCAAAAATTCATCTCCAAAACAGTCAAAAAATTCTTTAAAAAAAGAACAATAGCTGATGCAAAAAAATAATAAAAATATTTCGAGCAACATTTTTGACTACCGTCTTCGCCCAAATAGAATGCCTGGTCATTATTGCTGTATCTACACTGAAAGTTAACCCCAATTGTGCTATAATGACCAGGTGTTCTATTCAGGTGAAGATAGTAGGACAAAAAAGAATATCCCGCAGTGGTCGGTGAACTCTTATGTGTTAATTAAATGATAACTCTACAGAAATCCCAAAACTAATCCAAGTCGGTTTGTTTCGTTTTTGAAGTTGTTTAACTTTTTTTCGAACTTCTTCACTTTTTTTTTTACCACAGGTTTTGTTCTCGGTGCATCTCACCACCGTACTGATGCACTGGAGAATGTGCCCTGCACTGCACGTGCGCCATCAGTACACATCCCAGCCTCTCTCCTCACTCTCCCTTGTCACTTATGCCAACTGTCAGTATACACACCGCAACTCCCTCGTCCATCCCTCCGCTTTCTCTACACTCCCCCTCAATTACCTGCCTCAACGGAGCTGAATGTGTTGTCACAGAATCTGTGACCGGAGAATTGCCTCCCGACTTCTCTAAGCTCTCCTGCCTTCTCGGTGCTCTCCTTTTATAACCTGCCCGCCTGCACTACACGATTGCCTCCTGGCTGCTA